TTAAAATATCATAAATACAGTTGGCATCAGAAAGAAGAGTACATGTCATTTCTGACAGAGGTGCTGGTTCTAGTAAGACTGGAGGAAAGGGAAAAATGCAAAAGGAGAGGAAGACTAAGGATGCTTTAGGCACTCAAGAGAGTGTTTCTCGCAAAGGATGATTAGATTAGATATCTTTTGAAGTGATGTTGATTTTTGGAGTACTTTTGAACTGTGGATGATTGACTTAGATTTACTTTTGGAGTGTTGTTGATTTTTGGAGTAGTTTTGAACTATGGATGAACTTTTGCTTTCTGTTTTAGGCATTCAAAATAGTTTAGGAATGATGGATCTTTGTGAATGTAATGATGTTGAATTATGTTTTGAACAAGGAATGATTGTTGAAAGAACTTAGTAATGATTTTGGAGTGTTGTTCATCTCAGATTTCTTCTTTATATGTAGTGTTTTGTTGTGTCAAGTATGTGATGTTTTAGAAGTAAGCAGGTGTAAGTATTGTGTCAAGTCTGTGATGTTTTAGAGTGCTGGATCATTGTAATGTTCATCTCGGTTTCCTATAGTGTATCGTTTTGTTATGTTAAGTATGTGATCTCAGTTTCATATAAATTGCAAAACATAACAAAAAAAGGACAACAACAATGAGATAAAACACAAAAACAGATTACATTAGTTCTTAAGTTCAATACATCCACCAAATGAAATAAAACAGAACAATATTCAAAGCAACATTTGAGGCCCCTGCTTATGGCTAGATTTCCCAACCAAACTAAGGAAAACGATCAGTATAACCACAAACAAACAAATCATTACAAAATTCATCTTCCTTTCCAATTTATGCATCAGTGCTAATGTATTTTTCATAACCAGCAGGACTTCATTGTTCTTCTGAACTTCAACCTCAAGATCATTTAGTTTTTGTTCAAAATCAATACCACAATCCACAATTTCATCTTTTTCCAATGCCTTTCCATTGTACATTTTTTCCATTACAACCTTCTGCCTCAGCTGCTCTTCCAAATACTCGATTTTAGATTTCAATCGCACAAAATAAGATTTTTGGAACTCAGGAAGTGCGGGATCAATCCACTCGAAAAACCGGCAGTCTTTCCCTTCCTAAACAATGTAAATCAAAAAATTAGGGTTTATCAAATTGGGGGTTTTAATTAAGTTTATAAAATTAGGGGTTTTGAAGAAATTAGGGTTCTCACAAAATATACGTAGCTCACCTTCCTCTTAGGACATCTATGGAACCTTCTACATGGATTCTCGTACGTCATGGAGGTGAACACATCGACTTCGTCGCCATGGCCACAGACCTTCTTCGAAGGAACACTGAAGCTTCCAGAACTCTGGCTTGCGCGAGATGAAGACGGCATCTTTGTGGCTTGCGCGAGCTATCGTCTGCAAGAAAGTAAAAAAGGCACTGAACTTTAATTTAGGGTTAATCGATCGATTTGGGAAATTTGTGATATTGGAGAAGGAAGCATTTTTATAGCGGTTTTTCAGAAATTCCACGTATTCTACTTATTCTTACTGAGCAAAGTCAAAATTACACGTAGATAAAACCAGCCGGACATGCTGGCACCTTTTCACCGTCCGACGGGTTTTAAGTCAATTTTGCAAAAGTAATACAAGGCTGAGATTATTTTGCATTTATCTAGAAGTTTGGATTAAATTGCCAAAAGTGAAAAGGTCAAAGTTTTAATGGCAATTAACCCTATTATAAATAGGACTAGTACGTTACCCGCGCGTTGCGCGGCCTAATATTAAAAATGGTGTGAATGAATGAAAATTTAATAGAAAAATATTTTTTAAAAAATTTATTGAGATAATGTAGAATAAATTTTTATTAAGCTATTTAAAAATATTTTCACAAATACAACATCAATAGAAGGTGAACTGTGTATCACCAATAGTAATAACAATAATTAGACAACATGGATTGTGACTCCAGAAACAATAACAATTAAAAAAAAAAAAAGAAATTATAAAATCCAGTATAATTTGTTTTGAAAATTTTTAAAATTAAATTTTTAAGCTTACAAAAATGTGATATACCATGAAAAAAAAATATTGGTCACATTAATGACTCTTCTTCAAAAATTTTCATAAAAATGTATATGTGATAACATAATTTTCATAGTTCAAAAAAGAAAATAAAGTCATGATTACTATTGTACAAATAAACTAATATTGAATATTAATGTTAACATGTAAGAAGATGAAAAAATTAAAATATATAAATACAAATTAAATATCTAATATATTGTTTTCTTTTTTATTAACAAAATAAATCTCAACTTCATTTTTCACAAATTAAGTGCGATGGTGATTATAGAATGACGTGAAAGATTTATCATTTTTCATAAAGTCATAAATAGACTCATTAACTCAATATTAAAATATTTATTTTTTTGCGAAATTCATGAGAATTGTAATTCAATGTAATATTAAATACTTATTTGTGCATAAAACCATTGAAAATTATAATTCAATATATTATAGTAACACTCTGAAAAATTTTGTAATGTAATACAAAAAAAAAACATTGAAATTATATTATATAAAATCTAAAAGAGATAAAAGAAAATTAACATTATGATACATGATAAAGAAAAAGTAGTTG